TCTACAAAGATAAGGGAAAAGTCAGTCCCAGAACTAAAGGAAACCCTTCTGTATTTAAGAATGGAGAAGGCGCGCTTCCGAGCGCGCTCCCGAACCGAGTAACCATATCAACTCTAATTATAACTAAGTTTAAATAAACTTTCTATAAGTAGCGCGGATGTCGGACCGAAGATTTTATTAGTTCAATGGATAAGATAGAAATAACGCACCAGCGAATCAGTAAGGACATGGGACGGATGGACGGACGATAGCGCGAAGACCTATGAGGAGGCGCGCGTGCGTAGGTAAGGCGCGCGTAAGTGCGCGCGAGTTCGGATAAGGCGCGCGCGAGTGCGCGCGAGACTGGTCCTTAGGAGTAGAGCTGTAATGTATAGGAATGTATGGTTAAAGGCCGGATATTCGTCATTGAGACGCGCGAGTCTCTACATCGGGTCTCGGACCTCGGACCTCGGAACTCAATGATTTGTGTGATGTAAATGAAAAATCAACATGTTGCACACCGGGTTTCAAGTTTTGGGTTTCAGCACTCAAAACTCGGTGATTTGTGCAATGAGTGAAAAATGGACATGTTGTGCACATATTTTCGGGTCTCGGGGTTCGGGTTTCGGCCCTCGGAGCTCGGAACTCAATGACTTGTGTAATATAATTGAACAATGGACATGTTGCATGCCGGGTTTCGAGTTTTGGGTTTTGGCACTTGAAACTCAGTGATTTGTGCAACAAGTGAAAAATGGAAATGTTGCATACATATCTTCGGGTCTCGGGCTTCGGGTTTCGGCACTTGGCACTTGGCACTTGGTTATTTGTGTGATATAAATGAAAAATAAACATGTCACACACTGGCTTTCCAGTTTCACGCTTTGGCACTCGAAACTCAGTGATTTGTGCAGTGAGTAAAAAATGGACATGTTGTGTACATATTTTCGGGTCTTGGGGTTCGGCCCTCAGCCCTCGGCACTCGTAACTCTATGATTTGGGTTATATAAATGAAAAATCAACATGTTGCACACTGGGTTTCAAGTTTCACGCTTTGGCACTCAAAACTCGGTGATTTGTGCAACAAGTGAAAAATGGAAATGTTGCATACATATTTTCGGGTCTCGGGGTTCGGGTTTCGGCACTTGGCACTCGGAACTCAATGAATTGTGTAATGTACATGAAAAATGGACATGTTGCACACTGGGTTTCAAGTTTCACGCTTTGGCACTCGAAACTTGGTGATTTGTGCAGTGAGTGAAAAATGGACATGTTGAACAATGGGTTTCAGGGTCTCGGGTTTGAAAAATAGCATAATAACAACTTTCATGTTTTCATTATCATTTGCCTATATTGACTACCGAGTCTGATAAGAGACCCCTTGGATGATTCATTGCTCAATGAAATACTACCTGATTGGAAGTGTGCTGGTTATCAGATATTCATTTGTCGACTCCCGGGTCCCGGAACTTGGAAGTCGGTACGGTTGACCCAAATTTGGGTGGTCAGAACTTGGCATCTCATAGGGCAACACAAGCTTCACACCCTGGATTCCAAATTCTGCAAGACAACCTGTGCACCATCAAAGGCCATGTCAGGAGATCACCTGCCGCTCCGGGAACTCGGGAACTTTGATTTATTACCTCCTCTGAGTACGGTTGACCCAAAGGTTGGTAATCGGAACTTGGCTTCTCATAGGGTAACACAAGCTTCGCACCCCGGATTCCAAATTTTGCAAGACAACCTGTGCACCATCAAAGGCCATGTCAGGAGATCACCTGCTGCTCCAGGAACTTGGTAACTTTGATTTTATTACCTCCTCTGATTTGGTTGATGTACAACTACCTCAGCTCCATCGTGTTTACAATTATGATACACATGGGCCCACCCATCTATATTGTATACCACCCTCGGCCCACCCATCTAATACAACATCCCATACAACACCCTCGGCCCACCGGTCTAATTAATATGCATCTGGGCCCACCCGTATAATACAATATTGTATAATACCCTCGGCCCACCCGTCTAATTTAATATGTGTCTGGGCCCACCCGTGAATGTGATAACAAGTACCTACCCATCTATCTCATACACATCTACCTTAATACACCCATCTGCATAATATCCAACTACCTTGGCCCACCCGTCTACCTAATATTCATGTACATCGGCCCACTCATCTACTCTATATATCCCCTGCATGGGCCCACCCGCCTCCATCGGGAATAATTTGCCTCCTGGCCCATCCGTCATAGTCGAGGATATTTTTATCATGGGCCCATGGTCCGCTGGCCCGTATCATACGGGATATTATGCACGTCCGTTCCCTCGTATTATATGGAAATAGGTCACTGTAATATGTGCTTGCTGACCTCGTGCTCCGATGCTGATGTATCGTTGTCTGTAAGGGTTCTCTCGATGATCTCTGGGGTATCCAATGGTGATGAAGCCTCTGATGTGCATTCTGAGGAAGTGGCTCCGTCCGCCTTGATGAATCGACCTGTACTGTCTCTGGGCAGAAGAGATTTCTTCTTCGTCTGTTTAGCTGAGGAAAGAGCAGTCATGAGCATTCCGTTTTTTGTACTCAGAATTTAAAAGGCTATGCTCTGTGCGTGTCTTCCTCGTAGTTCTGACGCAATGGTTCTTGAACATGTTCTCATGTGTTCCACGAGGCTTCTAATCAGCTCTGGACTCGGCTCTGGACTCAGCTCTAAACTCTGGGATTCTGGACTCTAAGGGGAAATAACCAAAACGAAGCTTGGTTGAGGCGAACTCGCTCTGTTCACCAGTTGGAGCGGTGTATCCGCGACTAAGCACCTGCATACCAAATGCAAGGGGAGAAGTGGTTGGGCTCTACACTACTGCAAAGCCCGAAGAGCGCTGAGTGGCTGACTAATCTACGGAGCTATCCGGCTGCTGCTATGTTGCTGCCCCTGGGGTCCCCTACTCCAGTGTGTAAGATTAGAAATGCAATCGGAAATTATTTTACAATTGACCCGGCGTGCTCTCAGGGCCATTTTCCATTGTTCAAGAGTTCAAACCTTCATATTTAACGGTGTTCGTTGGCGTCATGTACAGCAATCCATTATGTCCATAGAACTGCTACAACGTCCAGAACACTGCCATCGACATGCGATTTGAGGTGCCATGTACAGCTACCTATCCATATTATGATTGAGTTCTGTCAACGTGTCTGGCCACCGGCATCTCAAAACTTTTTTGATCATTGTCATTGCCAAGTTAAGCACATCAGCACAATGGAGAGATGCAGAACAAAGAGGGGCGTTAAACTTACAGGTGGCTAGTGTGACTCGGCAGATGAAGGACAAGGAACTGTGACCCCGGGCCTTATGCATCAGTAAACTGGTGAGTTCTTGCTGGGGATTATGCTGATTATAGTGCTTTTACATAGTCATATATTGCTTTATATCACTTTATATTCCAATGTGACGAAAACCTTTCCTATATATTACGATATATAACGATATATGACGATATCTTCTTCTCACAGGCTCTCTGATGCATGGTGCAGTGTGCACAGCATCGCCAAAATGCACTTTTGGAAGGTGAGTAATCGTGTTTGTGATACCTACTGAGTTAGCGGCCTCAACAAGAAGGAGCCGGGAATGAAGTACTCCCTCCTCAATGGCAGCAGGTTGGGTTGCTAGATGACAGATTGGCATATCAAGATGACACGTCGTGATGACTTCATGGAACTGACCTTAACCAGGAGTGCTACTAGTTACAAGTGAGCGAATTGAATATACCACTAGCAACGAGGAACTAATGGTGAAACATCGATTATCCTGGACAACTCGTTCCCGGATGCAAATGGCACATCTCACCGCTCGGTCGGTCCTACTTCATCAATCATGATACCAAGACCACATCGTGAAAAAAACCAGTGCCTGAGCGTCCGCCAGAGAGCTTGACGCCAGCATCAGTGAATTCATCAGTCCTCGATATGGTAGCTGTGGGATCTACAGAGGGATAAAAATCTTCTTCAGCAAAATAAGTCAATTTATACGGAGAAAAATTTGACGTCTTAATACATAGGCATGGATGTTTGCAAATTTAGAGTCCTCTGGGGATTTCGTGACAATGTCGTTATTGTTTTACATGATAACCAGCAAGGGTTGGTGGTCAAATTGTTGACCCCCTGTTGAATGTTCTCGATTCCCCCGACTTGGGTTTTGAATTACATTACTATTTAAGACTTTATCATGACAGGTAGCGTTAGCAAAGGTCAGCGGTTGGAAATTGGCATGGGAATTCATGACTACATTGTGACATGGCACCGTCACAGCCTGTGCGCAATACTAGGGCAACTATCTCGTACTTGCTGAGCATTCGCACTTTCTTTGATTGAGGTCTTCGATTGTAAGGTCATTCAATACTATTTTGTGGCATGCGTGTTTTGCAATCGTCTTCAAGTCTATATTCATGTGGCGGTTGCAGCAATGTTAGGCCATTGCATCATCACAACCGACAAGAGATGGAAGGGTACTCTGGTAAATCTTTTTGAGCAATGTCACCCAACTTCATTGAAGTTTCAGATATAAAGCAATTCACATTTTCGCCATGGAGAATGGCTTTGGTATTTTCCATCACATGTAGGCTTTTGTGGAAATCGCAAAAAAAATCACGACTTTACCCAATCACAGCCAATAAGGCTTGCTAGGGGGTACTCATATCAACCTTTTGATTGTTCCCATTTCTAATTCTCTGTGTCCTGGCTTACAATGTCTCTGGCAAAGGTGACACGGCTCATGACTCGGAGTTTCTGGCTCCCAGATGATCCGGCGGACCATTTTTCTCCTCCACGAAGTCACGGTAGCCCGGGTAAATTTGGTACACATATCATTCATAGTGCCGTGGCAGTACAGAGGTGCGGGTAATATAGTAAGTGAGCGCACAATCATGATGATCACTGGTAGTACATTTCTGAGTCGATGAGTGCTGAGTACACTGTACACTAAACAGGGTATATTATAGGACACTTGAATATGACTATGTATGAATCATTTCTTGGCTTTGAGTTTTGAACAGAATGCGTATATGTCTGCCAATCTACATTGCATGAGCAACTTGTGATTCTCCCACCACTCCAATAGCTCTTTGTCGGATGCGATATCCTCTTTAATATAGTCCATTAGCCTGGTATGCATGGGTTTGAATTCTTTAACGGAAAATTCGACGTTGTCGTTCCCCCCACGCTTCATTCCTACCAGCACGCAATACATGGCGACAGCAGCCGTAGAATACATACCATCCAGTGAGGTGACGTGTGGCTGATATTCAAGGTCTATAATGGTGTTCTGGACAAGGTCCTGAATCACCTCATTTTCGAAAGGCTTCGATCTGCCCGCCTTGAAAATGAATTTGGGGGGGAACGAAGGCTTGATGAGATTTTTTACTGTCAGTGATTGGTGTGTGGGTTCGGATTCATCTGATTCAAGTGGAAGACGTAGATCATACCCACGCGGGACTAGGTGTAGGGCATGCTTTCTGGTAATAGCCATGATGTTTGTTGATGGCGCTGAGAGTGTCCTGTACAGCATGGATTCATTATCAGAAGTCCATTGGTCAGCAGAATCTGTTGACGTGCATTGAAATATAAGTCGGTTTGAAAGGGTGCACAACATCACCTACATCCGCAACTGTATGTGTTGCCGTGGTTAGCGCCGAATGGACCTCCTGCTTTCGTTCGTCTTCAAATAAGAAGGGGCAGCCGTTGACTACAGTGTCAATAACACCGCCCAACGCCTTTTTAACGATATCCTGGTGAATTGGGTGGTTCTCTTCATATTTGGCTGGTCCTACGCCAGGCTGCTGGGATGTGGATTCCTCAGAGCTAGCAATGAGAGGCTTGGAGGACAACGAGGATGTTGCAAGATCCGGAACATCCTATCGCTCTATTAGTCATTGGCAGTCTGCAGTCAATGTGGGTGCTTACCTTACTAGTATTAACCGTCCAACCCCTCAGCTTTTTTTTAAGCGGATCAAATGCGATGAAGGGGTCAACTTGACGGCATTTTCTTGACGGCCGGCTTCCAGACGGCTCTTCATTAGGCAACGGATTCCCGAAACTCGGTGCATCAAAGCACAGGGGCTCATCCAAAGGCAATGGCTGGCCGGCATGAAGAGGCATTACATCTTCCGGGTCAGGCATTGTAGAAACGCCATCAGCGGATTGGAAAGGCGCATAGAAGTCGGGAAATTGCGAGGCCATGGTTGCGTAATGGTGCATTGAGGCCGCGTAAGGAGTCGCACTTGGAGCTGACTCGACTCGAGCGGCTGCCGAGTTTCCAACAGCTGAGTAGTTGTCATTATAGTTCGTGCGGGCACCGATGTTGGGGTCCGGAAACATGGTGCCCATAAAGGAGTTGAAGGGGGTAGGTTGAACAGATGAAACATTGGAAAATATTATTGATTCATCATTCTCAGCATCCGTCACAATAGTGTAGTTGCCACGGCGGGTATCAAGGACGTTGGGATAAGGACTTGGATCAACCTGAAACGCGGAGGGGTACTGATAGTCTGGTATAGATGGGTCGTTGGATGACACTGGAAGCTGGCTGCCAGAGCTAGCAGGGTATTGAACATCACGATGGCCGCCCGCTTGGGCATCAACGATGTTGGGATAAGGACTTGGATCAACCTGGGACGATGTCGATGGCCCTTCACCAACACTAAAATCTCCGGAGGGGTAGTACTGATAGTCTACGGGTGGGTCATTGGGTGACGTTGGCAGTTGGTTGCCAGTGGGGTAAAGATCACGACCACTCGCCTGCACATCGAGCGAGAACGAATCTTGGCTTTGAGCAGAGAAGGATACCGCTAGCGGTCCCTGCTCAGGTTGGGTTTGGGAGGAAATATAACGATAACCTGCTGTGTAGCCCGCATCCTGATTATGGCGATGAGTCTTCAGTGGAGATGTTCACTTGAATAGAAGTTGACCGTGACTGCTTACCAAGTTCAAGTTGGGGTGTTGGAATGGAACAGGCCCGGAAATGGATGCCAGTGGCGGCACAGACTGCTGCGGCTGATCGTTGACGCGGTATCCTGCTTGAGTGTCAATATCGATGAAGTTGTACTGTGGATCGCCTGGATCAGCCTGAGAGTACATCGCTGGCAGCCGCAGACGAGCACCGTTGAAACAGGACCCGAAAGTCCTTTAAGTTATTACACCATTGTGATCTCAAAACTTGAAGGCTTGAGTCGATGGGTTCTGTGATAGGAAACATTTTTCGATTGTAACACTTCGACGAATTGTAACCGAACAATGAGGTGTGAGCGTTAAAACTAACATACCTAATTTGGCTTTCAGTATTGGTTGTTCCATTTCGCAAATATCCCCATAGCATCAAAAAATCAAATTGAACGAGTTTTATGCGGCAGTTGATGAGTCTGATTCAGATGGCACACCTCGTGTCGTGTGATGATAAGACTCATATGGGTTGTAGCGATCCCCCTATGCTTACTCGGCCGAAGTTGAATCAACACGCTGAGGGAGGTGGAAAGTTCTAGAATTGAATGTAACGTACGTACAGCGGGTTGACTCGGAGTACGTGCAGGGTAACATAAACGAGGGTGATGAGATCATTACCGACTACACGTTTCCTGCAGCTGTGATTCTGAATTGAGCCTTAATATACAGGGCGCACGGTTTCGATTTATTTACGGACCCCTGGCAGTCTGGGATATGCGACTGGAGCTCGGATTGGCGAAAAGACCCAGGACGAGTGGAATAAATGGGTGAACGTCGCAGTCACTCGGCGAGAGTCTAGATAACCGTGACGGTGGCAGAGTCATGCAGTGACTTCGGATCTGACACAAGATGCGTGCGTGAGTAGCATCGCTGCGACTAGACTGTGAATACCTTGGAAATAGCACCATGGCCTGCCAGTGGGTACGACGAAGTCGAGGGGAGCGAAACGAGCAAACAATTTGAAGTATACCGTGACTTGAGTCACCTTGCCGGAAGTGAGAAATTGTTTCCATCAGAGTCGGACTGAAGGCTTACCATAGTACAATACCGACTCTGGATGAATGCATTCGGGAGGGAATTTCTAGATCCAGGTGAGCGTTTTAGTAACTATTTGGACTGAAGTGTGTCGACGAAAGATATGGTCACGGACCATGATTGGCAAACAAAGATGGGACTTGGGGATATGATTGACTCGATGTGTGCTTCCATCAAGGAACATTCCGCAATTCTGCCACCCGCCAGCCTGAGGTTCTGCCAGTTCTGTTGGCAGAACTGCCTCAATATATCATGATAGCCTTATCATCGCGTGCAGCGAGAGCAGCAAGATTGAATCATCTCCATTGGCAGCATGCAATTTTGATGTTCTGAGGATTGTCACGGTAAGTAGACAAATATCATTGAACACTCACTACGAGTAGTACATCAACTAAGGCAGCTGGCGTCAGAACATTGTCACAGTTAGTAATAGTAGGTAGTTCCACCGTGACTCGTACTCCAAGTTTTTCATCAAACACCTGGGGCTTGTGTTGTCTGTCTTCTGCACGATGTAAGTTACCTGATTTTGACTTTCGTCGGTGTGCTGATGGTGGCGGGAACTGGTGCGGCTGATTGCCCAAGTTAGGTTGAACAAGACCGTCATGTGATGAACAATAATTACATGTAACTCTGGACTGGACAAGTGTGCTATGATAGGTCACCGAATGATAATCTAAAACTACTTCTCTTCAATCACTGCAGGTATTTTTCTTCCGTTGTTCTTCGTCATACTTCACTATATCGAGAACAGTCTGCCAGTCTGTACCTGTTTTCTCCCGCCGGATGCGCTTGATGCCAGCAACTGGAGCAAGATTCAGACTCAGAGATAGAAATGCATTGTTCTCCTTGTCAACATCACGCTGCCGCGGTGGGAGTTTAAATCGAGCTTGTACTCTGATTTTGCAGCTTTTCACCAAGCCAAATTTCTGATTTCATCTGAATCAGCGCTACGAAATCCACTGCTGCTACTATGATGCACCTACTCTTTTACGAGTCAGACTCGGACTAACGACGGTGGCCGCAGCTCCAGGTCTTTCGTTTTCCTTGACACCGAGTCCTAGACTTGAACGAGAGGCGGCTGCAACAGTGGCTTGAATTGTTTCCTGAGGCTGCCAGTGAGAGATGTGCTTAGTGAGTCGCCGCAAGCCAAAGAGCCGGAGAGTGTGTACTTACTACTTCTGCTTCTTTATACCCAGGCTCCAGCCTGAGGGACTCACGGCACGACCTGTCCATGTCTGGAGTACCACTGGCAGGACCAAGCACTACTATGGGCTTGGCAGAAGGAAAAAATTCAGATGCGTCAACTTGAAGTTGGGGACTCGGAGTGTCCACAGTTGCCAATGCATCACCAGCGTGATTGGCAGGATGCGGCTCATGGTCACATTTTAACATGTTCAATGGTTCAAGTGAGCGGCAGTCGTTACTAGGAAGTTGGGTTGCGGTTAACGATGACCGGTGAGCTCTTATAGTTAATCATATATGAGTGGTGACGTACAATATAGAACTCGGCAGCATGCACTAGGGTCCTGGGCCCAGCGCATAGTATGCACAGCCAGATTCACTGGCTGGTACTTCAGCATGATAGCACCACTTCAGGAACATTCAATCAGCCCTTTTTGAGAAGCACACGATTGATTCCCATTTTTGGTATGTGCTTTTAAATCTGGATGTCTTGTCAGAGTAAGTTTGCTTCATTGCCTTCTCCGGCAACTGCCTGATGAGTTTTTGGTCCAGCAACCTATCATTATCCGAGGAGTTCACAAGCACTGCCAGGTGGAATTCAGTGTAGATGGGCCAGTAATCGAAGAATCAAGTCGTTTCAGCGAAGTTCCTTTCAAACTCCGATGACATATTTACCAATCGCTTACAGGCCGAAAATCTAAATACCTTATCCAAGCCCACCGTTGAACGTTGAACTTCCATGTTGCAATTCTGCCTGCCTTCATCTTATGATGAACTTGACACTAAGCCTTCATCTGGCTTCCACAGCGGTATGGGTGATGACTCAGAGCTCTATGCTGCACGCTTAGCATCCACACCTCAACAAGCTGAACCCCCCAAGCTTGCCCATATATCTGGCAGTTCTGGCACTAACGGCACTCTCAGCCGTGCTCATAGCCTTCGTTCAAGCTCTCCGGACTCCCCGTCGTCTGTTAAATTAGCATCAGGTATTATGATTCATCATATGTTTTCAGTGGATAAACTCAAATAAACGATAGTTGCTAATACTAGCAGTACCTCTGCGCCAGATGCAGAGGATGATAACTTCCCACCGACACCTCAATCCAAGCAATCCTGCGGCGCATATTATGTCGTTAAGCCCTCTGATGGGATTGGTTCACCAACCCCAAATTGCATCCCCAAGACTGACAACACCGCTGCTTTCTCCCTTTATCCTCCGATCACATCTTTCGAAGAGCAACATTATTTTGATAGATTTCTGGGCAGACCCGTCAATGATAACGATTCACTGGAGGATGTCAGCCAGAGAGTGAGTCATCTTTTGAACAATATACCACAGGGCTTAATACAAGTGTCATTAATAGGTTCAGGATATTTACAAAAGCCACATAGGGCGGCTTAGCGCGAACTCTGTTCACTGTGCCATTCACTACAAGGAGGCTGTTAGGGAACGCAAACGCATGTGCTGGTACACCGCACGATGGGAGGTTGTGGAAGTACAAAGGCTGCACACGCTCCTTCGTTCCTTGTGCGAAGAATCAGAAACAGAGTTTATCATGGCAGATCGAGAATCGCGTTGGCTACTGGACATTCTGGTTGAACGACAGACACTGCCTGTTACCGCTGCACAAGCCGAATATACTGCTGCAACTTGCGACACAGCCAAGAAATCTCTCCATTTGGCCGATGCAGAACTTGCCATGCTCAATGGTCGTGCTACCGTGCAGTAGCAGCTTGTGACTGATTTTTCGCAGGTTGCGACACATTAGTGTGTGCAACTTTTCCTGTTATTGATGATCCCCAGTCACCATATTTTCAGATATTATTGTCCTTGATGCAATTTGTTGTATTCACACAGGAAACATAGTGGATAAACCAGTGGCTTGTTCTTGATACTGTGTACAATTACGCCCTGGGTCCACCTCGCAAGTTTGGAATAGTACTACTGTTGTCTGTTTTTCAAGAAATACAACTTTGTATGCTCGTTTCTGGATTGGTCCGTCGCCCGCTCTGGCCCAACCAGTGAATGTTCAAACAATAGACACCATGATAATTGTCGGTATATACAGTGTAAGACCGATTCAAGTTTTTATTTGATCGCAACCGAAAACATCAATGATAGTACCCTGTACGGTACTAACAGTGTTGAGGCTCTTGCACAATGGAATATTCATTTAGTACATAACTACCGCATTACTTGTACCAAGCCTTAACCGTGACTCCTACGTGGCACTAGTGAAAGCAGTAAGTAGCATAGTGCTATCATCATTGTTTCGAAGCAAGTTGTATCTAGTGCTAACTTCTCGCAGCCATTCAAGTTCATGTTCAAGTTGGTACTATAGAAGGCGACTCCTATTGCTAGCCAACTGAGACTCATGCACCCCGAAATATTTTCATACTACTGTATCGGACTTTTCTTGCTTTTTCTGATGGTGTCCTGCAATGCTCTGGGATGCTCTTGGGAGAGGCCAACAGACAGTCGCGGACTAAGCAGGCATCGAGAAACTTGCCATTTCTACAAGAGAGCGAGCAGTCTTGCGAGTCAGAGGAGACAAGATCGCGCGAAGGCAGCGCTTCTTTCCAACAGTCGTTTGGCTCAAACAACCTCGAATTCAGCAAGCAGCGGCTCGTCGGTGAGTTGTGGTACTTAGTAACTGCCTACTTGCTTAAGCTACTAAAAATTTGTATTAACATCAGATAATCTCAACTGTCCGACATGCGAGGAACCATTCAAGTTGGAACCCAATCGCACCTCGCAGCCTCCTTGGGGCAATTTCTATGGCTCAAGGGTCATATGCCAGTGCCTCTGAGTCCAGTCACGGTCTCGTTGACTCACAACACACCCCCAACTCGGAGCAGGGACAAAATGATGTGGAAATGACGAATATTTCTGAAACTGTGTTGGACTATGATCAAGAGGACTCAGGTTCGTATCCCTGTGGTCAATTATCTTTTCCTTAATTAATTACTCAAACCTTTCAGAGGAATTCGTACCCCCAATGAGACGCATTCCTAGATCTCTTGATTGCATCGAATCTTCGCATGACGATCTGAATCATTCCGATAGCGCTGGTATCCCATCAGCCCGAATGGCTTCACTACCAGCCCAATCTAGAATTCGACGCGTTCTCTTAATGCTAAGGGATACCCTCCAGACTGGCTTCAACTCATTTGGCTTATGTCGGCTCTACCCTCGTCGTCCTTCTTTTGAGCCAGACCAACTCATTCCATATTTTCTACTGGCAAGAACGTCTCCCACAGCGGCCATCCACGAAACTGATCCGAGTCCTTCGTCGAATGTCTTCGCACCGCCTTACCCCTTCGCTAACATGACTATCTATCGACTTCTGTCCTGGATGAATTCAGGCAGTAGTAGGTTATCCAAATCCAAGGTCTCGGATTTGGTCAAAGATGTCCTGCTGGCAGAAGATTTTGATTGCAAGGACCTCGAGAACTTTTCGGTCAGGCGAAGCTTGCGAGAACTAGACAAGGATGAGAGCGGAAGTAGAGTCACTTTTCCAGACGACTGGATTCAGACTAGTGTCACTATTAATATTCCAACAAAATCAAAGGAAGATGGGCCTCAGCCTTTTACCATCCCTGGTTTTCACTATCGCCCTCTTGTTGAAGTCATACGCGCGGCGTTCGCAGATGTACAGGCGGGAGCATTCCATCTCCTCCCTTTCCAATGGTTATGGAAGGATTCTCTAGATGGCCATCATGAGCGGATTTATGACGAACTATATACTTCAGATGCCTGGCTGAATGCTCAGGACAGTATTCAGAGGATACCAAAGGAACCCGGGTGTTCACTGGAGTGCGTTATCGCAGGTCTTATGTTTTTCTCTGATGCTACTCACTTGGCCAATTTTGGGACTGCAAAGGCCTGGCCGCTCTACCTATATTTTGGAAATCTCACGAAATATGCACGATCTTCACCCTTGTCCGGAGCATGCCACCTAGTGGGGTTTTTACCCTCTGTAAGTACTCCTTCGACATGTCTACAATGCTGTTGACAATGTTATGACAGCTTCCTGATAGTATCAAAGATGTATTCAGTGGACTATCTCGCATATCAAAGACGGGCATGGCGTCCCTTCATGCCCACTGTCGTAGAGAACTATTTCATTCCTGCTGGGAGATTTTACTGGATGAAGATTTTATTTCTGCGTACCGCCACGGTATCGTTCTGAAATGTGCTGACGGAGTAGTGCAAACGGTCTTTCCTCGCATCTTCACATACTCCGCTGATTATCCTGAGAAGTACGTCCATTCATGATTTGAAGAACATTGAATCACTCATAATTTTACAGGGTTTTAATCGCAACTATCAAGGACATGGGCTTGTGTCCGTGTCCTCGCTGCCTGACACCCAAAACCTCCTTCAATCTTCTTGGACTCACGATGGACATGAGAAATCGTTTAAACAACCTTCGAGTGTATGTTATGGTCAATGTCATCAAGGCTCGTGAATTTATCTACGCTGGGGGAAACACGGTAGATGGCACAAAAGTAGACAATACCCTCGGGGAGGGCTTGTGGATACCTACTCTGGTAAGTGACTTTTTCCTATTTTGTGATCAGCTCACACCGTCTACTGGCAGAATCGATTTGTCGAGAAACTTGGACCTCTAGGCCTTGACCCATTCTGCATGCTTGTCGTCGACTTCATGCACGAGTGCGAACTGGGCACCTGGAAGGCCCTGTTCACACATCTTATAAGGCTTCTCTATGCCCTTCCTCGGGGCAGCGAGCTTGTCGCAGTTCTGGACAGCAGGTACGAGGAGGTCTTAAGGGGATGCCATTGCTTGCTAACGGCTCACACATCACTATCTTACTGTAGGTTTCGACAGGTCCCGACCTTTGGTCTCGGCGTGATTCACCGCTTTTCGAATAATACATCTGAAATGAAAAGACTGGCAGCGCGTGATTTTGAAGATATATTGCAGGTTGTGTTACCCGTTTTTCTGCATTTGATCTGCTGACAATCCATCATTAGTGTGCCATTCCGGTCTTCGAAGGTTTATTCCCCGGTGACCATGATGCAATGGTGCAGTCTCTATTGTATCAATTTTCCCAATGGCATGCGCTTGCCAAGCTCAGGCTTCACTCAGACTCTACAGTCAACTTTCTCCAAGAAACTTTCGAGAAGCTGTCGAAGAAGTTGCGGAAGTTTCGAGACTTCACCTGTGCCGCTTTCAATACCGTCGAATTACCCAAGGAGAAAGCAGCTCACCACCGAAAGGCTACTCAACGCTCGGAAAAACACGGTTCTATTCCAGAATCCAATGGGCCGAAGACAAAGAAATTCAATCTAGGTACATATAAATTCCATGCAATGGGGGACTATGTGAAAACCATCAAGCTCTTTGGGACCACAGATTCCTTTACTACTCAGATTGTAAGTACCGTCTATTTTCATACTGTGCACCTGACACTAGGTTTGGCCAGGGAGAGCTCGCTCATAGAGCATTAAAAGCATTTTATCCGCTTACTAACAAGCTAGACACTCCTGCACAGTTGGCGAAGCACGAGCGTAGGCGCCACGTACTATGGCGGGTGGGAGAGGTCGGCAATTCATCCTCTTCTAGCAGTCAACAGCCAGTCCATACTCCCCCATTGGCGTCATATGACAACCTGAAGCATCACTATATTGCAACTACTCAGCACAACCCAGTCAACCTGTTTCCGTTTCTCCGATCGCATGATGGGGATCCAGCCCTCAAGGTAGGAGCGTCATTGTATTTTGGAGGCACCTGAAAATTCATCTTCTATCAGAATTTCATACCAAAATTGAGGGATCATATCCTATACAGGCTGCGCAGGTTGGACATTGGCTATTGCGATCACGTTTTCACGGACGAGGAACGGAACTCGATCATCATCCCAAACAACACCATTTATTCGGTTCAAACTATGCAAGTACACTATACGATGTACGACTTACAGCGCGAGTACGACACCATTAACCCCAGAACCCATGGGGACATCATGGTGCTATCCGGGGAGACAAGGCCTAGTCACCCCTACTGGTATGCTCGCGTACTAGGTATATATCACATGGATGTATGGCTCAACAATGGGGGCCAACCGACGCCGCAGCACCTCGAGGTTCTCTGGGTTAGGTGGCTTGCGGGGCCATAAATCTGGAATGAAATATGCTCGCCTTCCAAAGGTGGCATTTGTGGAGGAGTCGGATCGAGATGCTTTCGGGTTCCTCAATCCAGGACAGGTAATCCGAGGGGCACATTTAATCCCAGCGTTCGCCTCGGGTTGCGGTGTAAGTTCGCTTCGCCATGGAGAGTCGTTTGCACGCCCTGGGGGGGAGCTGGATGATTGGGAAGAGTACTATGTTGGGATGTGAGTCCAATTACCTCTTTCTGTGCGCATTAAGCCTCAAGCTTTGAGCTAGATTTGTTGATCGCGACATGTTTATGCGCTATACTCACTTTGGCGTTGGGCATTCTGCCATGTTGCGGAAGATCGTCAAAGATTGCCTTGGCTCTCATTTGGTGTCTAGCGGCAATGTTGTAAATGGCAGTAGCCAGGAGGATGCTGATGACGAAGAGACCTGCGAAGGTGAGGGTCTTGGCGAATGCGACGATGGCCAAGAGGACAATGATGGCTCGGATGAGGGCGATGAAGATGAGTTCAGCGATGGGGAGCTGGATGAGGGAGTTGACAAGGACAACAGTGAAGATTATGAAGATGAACTTGCCGATGAGCTTTATGGTATCTCTTTCTAGTCTCAAATCTACCCCTGCTATGTGTCATTCATTTACTACATTATCTCTCATCACTGCTAGTAGTAGTATCTTCTACGCTGAAATGCGATCGATACGAGTCAATATCATACGAAACCAAAGGCAATCATATTAATGGCCCATGCCAATTAATGCAGCGGCCAGCTACTAGTACTGTCACTGTGCATGAGGTCCAAGTCCCGTGGGAATGTTAATGCTGTTAGAGCCATGCCATTCAAGTTCGACATCTACACAACCTTGACGACTTTGTGCCAGGCAGCCGCTGCCGTATGTCTTATTTCCCACTCACCAGTATTTCTAGTGCTACTCACAGCACGGATGACTTAACATCCATCATGATGGCCAAGCCCGAGATCGCCACTGATACCACTAGTAGTAGGTGCATATCATATCGCGGTTTCAAGTTATCGCGATTGAGATAGAGGGTCCTCAGGCTGATCATGCTATAGGAATGCAGCGGGAGTGCTTGCGTTAGATGCTGTCATCTAGGGCGCAGTGAGCTCAATCCCGACGCTCTTAACCTCAATTATGACAGTGATGACTCTATGCAGGTTGATTCTGAAAATGAACAAGTCAACAATCATCACACTCTTGTCGATAATTTTCAAGACCTAGATGCAGAGGACGTCGGTGACACAACCTCTCTCGCTATTGCTGGGAAGATGCAGAGGCATTGCTTCTTGAAAAGGAACGCGAGAAGGAGGAGCTTGAGACCTACAAGGTTGTCGAACGCATCATTTCGCAGTGTGATGGTGCGGAGGCTTACAATTTTCCTACATATGATTACTGACGCCACATTCTTCACCACTTCATTTCACCCTCCTACAGGGCTTCCGACTCACCGAAACACAAATTGAGCGGTCTTAATAGACTCTCTGAGCAGCCACGCTACTCGCTCCCTGAGGTAGAACAGGGTTCCACCGACAATGACGAGTGCCAACTGAACTCACATGGCAATTCGTCAACTTCTCAGCGAAGATTGGAGCAAAGAGGGTGCATACAGCCTTCGTCTTCACGGTAATTCTTCATCTAATTTACTTGTTCGTCTCCTTAATTGCCATTTTCATAAGGAGAATCCTGTACACCTTGCCACCTCTCTCTCGCGAAAGAACATATGACCGAGATGTTCGTCTCTTACCTTCTCGATTCACAAAGTTCATGGATCACTCGCCAGCACAAGACGAGCAGCCTAGGTATGCACATTCAGTGCCACTTGGCGGAGTACTAATCGCTTTCATAAGGTGCATTTGCACACCCTCGGAGAGCTACCACAACAGTTGGAAACAACGACCTGTCTCCTTGTCGGTTTTCAACGCACCGACGGCGATGTACGCTTGGGAACGCTATGAACCTGAATCTCAGATACCCTATCCATGCCCCCTTTACGTCGATTACACTGGTCGAAGCTCCACGCAGTCGGCATCATCAAGCTCCATCTCCAGCTTACTTGATTCTCCTTGCATGCCATGCATTATTATGATCATTGTATGAAACAGTGTGTTAAAATGTAACCGCCTTGGCAGCTCCCTGGCATTGTCTGATCGCAGCATCTCCACACCTACTTTACTCCCCCCAAAACGAAGAAGCTCATCCCCAGCTGGACCGTGACAGTACATGACTTTTGATTGCTCATATCTCTTCTGCTAAGGACGCCCTTCTTTCATTAGTTATCATGCATCTTCCGTGATGAAGATCATGGAGCCACTCAGGTACTTCATTTTAACATTCTTTGCAACCTCGCGCTTAACGGACTTGCAGACATGTAAACATCATCGAACCGTCTGATGCCAGCGCCATTGACTTTGTCGCGACCTCCGCTCGTCGCCCATTACGCAGCCTCACCGCACTTATGTTCACACCGTCATATATGTAGTCTGAGTCCGCTACACCGACGTTCTCCCAAATAGACATCTGTTTAGGTGAGCGTCAAAATGATGTACATTACAGTACTCAATGTTTTCCTAAATAGGCAACGTCCCTTGTCTCCCTTCTTCCCTTCTTCTTTCCCTTGGACATTGAGCAGCACCCTCTACTTTTATATCAATACTCTTTATCTATTCTATCTATCATATCTATGTTACACGAGAACAGCACATCGGAGCTGAACACCCAGGAAGGCAGCATATCGCACGTCGAGGACCAGCAGGACGATCACAGCCAACGATCACAGCCAGATGAGGCATTGCTGCAGGCTCGACAGAGACGAAAAATTGCGCAACTTGAGGAGAAACTTGAGACTCTCGAATCAGGGCGCGCTGTAAAAGCAAAGTAAGTCTATGATTGCATGTATAGAGTTGGCCACGCTCACTATCTGCAAGGCAAAGAAATTACTATGTGTTGCAAGGAAGAGCGATCAGGTGTATTGTTACTCTATTCGATACTATCGAGGACCTTATCGCCAAAAATGACCGAAGGTACAAAGTTGAGGATGATGCAGATTCTAGCATCGAGTAAGCTTGCTGCCTTTGAAAGCTTCCACTGAATGCGACTCACATGCTTTTGAATGTAGTGAAGATCGGCTACAAATAGGGTATGCTACCCTCATGGGTACTTTATCATGGCTCCCTGCGCAGGCTAGAGACATGGAATACGATGACTACACACATATGTTAAAACTGGTCAGTCTAATGTGCCAGTGGTCCGCTTGGTTGTGCTGAGTCTGTGTTAGCTTCAGCAGGGCGCCGACAGTGCTCGAGGTGACAATACCTCGAAGCTCAAGGTTCTTGTCACTGAATGGGTTAACCGCGAATTCAAGCCCGATCCTTTGATTGACGCTGACGATAAACATTCTCGTGGTTTCACCAGCGATGCATGCGGCAAGCTACTCTGCCCAGCTGAGCTTGATTGGAGCAATCCCATGTAAGTAGTGTACTCAGAATGTGGAAACAAACACTTACTACTCATTAGCGTAAGGGCAGGGATTCGAGACCGCTCAGATGGCCATATCGTGACTGATCTCTCCTTCCTGACTTTCCTGTATGATAAGTACACCACCAATTTGGATGACTTAGAGGAAGGTCTGTTCAAAAGCAAAATGCTTCTGCAGGTTTGTCGCACTAGATTAGCGTGAACGTGTGATCTTGGACTTACCGATTTTCAGGCGTATAACGCTGTATTCACATCACCCTCCTCAGCAAAGGACACCGAAGGGGATGGTGATGGCATAGATATCATTCAGAACAACAGACGCGCTACGAGGTCTGCCTTCGGAGGAGTCAAAGTAAAGAAACACATCGCACAAATCATCCAGATGAAAAAAGTCACACCTCGCTCGATCGCATATATCGCATGCCAAGTAAGTCTTTTTTGCCTGGCGAGCTTGATGATAGATCTGTGACTGCGCGACAGGTTCGATTTGCACTTTCGTCTGTTACCTCGTGGTGGCCTGTTGACGGCGACTTTGACTATGAACAATTTTGGCGGACCATTGTAGACTTTTTCGAAAAGGCCCCTGGTCGAGTAGCGCGGCGTAGGGTTAATGCACTCCTCGAATGGTGGACCAGGTGTGTAAATGTATAAGTCTCCATTGCAAACTTCACTCAAAATTATTTTTAGAAAGGTCTTTGGACGGAACAACCGTGATGAACTTACCAGCACAGCAAAGGCCAACATGTCCATCAACGCTCTTGCAAGGCAGAGGGCACAGTGCGATGACGCTTCTTTTGATTCATCCTAAGGCACGGCGACTGGTAGCTTCAGTAGTAGAGTTGTTTACTTTACAATTCACAATTAATTATCTCATGGTTTCATTGAATCTTGATTGGCGTGAAGTGTGCAGTATGCACATTTGAACATTTGAATGAATCTAGACTATGAGGTCCTTTCTGGAAAATACATGGAGACCATGGTTACCCCTGCATTTTATGATTCTAGTGCTAATGGCAAAATCCAAACTCTCGTTTGTGCATCTGTCCGCTTATGTTTGTTAGGCTGATTCTTCGACATAAAAATGATGCTATGGTCATCTCCAAATTTTCTAGTATTCGCGCAAATAGCATCATTCAAGCTCTAGGTTTGCGGGATGAACACAATTAACGATACTTGAGATAGCTTAAATTCCTCCTTACAACATTGCGGGATGAACACAATTAACGATACTTGAGATAGCTTAAATTCCTGCTTACAACAGGTAAAGACGCGTGATTGCCCTGACCTATGGCGCAATATAAATCATGTTCATCAAATAGTAAGTATGGTACTGGAGCAAAGCACGACCCACTATCATCGATGCTGGAGATAAGGGACCATGTCATAAAGATTGAACCATGTCCAAAGCGGAATCACGTGCTGGCTCTAGCGCAACAGCAAATATTTTCGCACAGTTCCCAATGTATATCTGGTGGGTAATCATTCCACGTCTCACGCAGGTGGCATCAAATCTTACCGCAGCCCATATAATCTTTCATTGGTCACTCTGTGAACATATAATTGTTCTTTGGAGGATGCTGTATTTCTTTCCGAGCTCCATAATTATCAACTTCACCTCCGACGTTTGGCTTTACGGGACATGGAATTATACACTGTTGTTCTCTGAAGGAACTGTATTTCGCTCATAGCTTCGAAACATTGCACTTCAGCTCTGGTGTTGCGGTTGCAAATCCTTTGTCCTGGTCCTTAGGTTCGGCTCCGCCTTCCCTTGCAATTTCAATTCGCGTAATTCAAATGTCTTTTCCCAACCACAAACATTGCCCAAGACATGACGAACGTGAGTCTCTAGCTTGAACATTCACATTGTTATAAAGATTTTTTTGTCGCTCACTTGGCGAGCACATTGTCATTTTCTGAAGGAACTGTATTTTGCTCATAGGTTTGAGACTTTGCACTTCAGCTTTATTGTGGCGGTTGCCAGTCCTCCGTCGTGATCCTTAAATTCGGCTCCACCTTTCCGTTGAACTTCAACTCCAGCAATATGAATGTCTTGTCTCAACCACAAACCTTGCCAAAGACATGACGAACGTGAATTTGTAACTTGATTATTTACTTCGCTATCAAGAATTTTACGTCGCTCACTTGGCAAGCAGAACATTGTCCTATGGAGGATACCGTATCTTGCTCATAGCTTCGAGATCGTGAACTTTCGGTCATAGCGTTGAGATTGGGAACTTCAGTTTTTGTCGCTCACTTGGCGAGCACAACATTGTTCTCTGGAGGATACCGTAACTCGCCCATAGCTTCGAGATTGTGAACTTCGGCTCTGGTGTTGCAATTGCAAGTCCTTTTTCTTCGTCCTTAGATTTGGCTCCGTCTTCCCTTGCAATCTCAATTCACGCAATACAAATGTCTTTTCCCCTCCACAGACTTGTGGAGGCAAATTAAAAACACTATGTGTCGCTGAATAGTCAAACATGACCATGTGATGAGCGATAACATAATTGTGCTGATGCTCGTGATTGGGTATTATATATTGTTATATATGTCGTTCTAATTTTCCCCCCAGTTCACTGATGAGAGTGTATGCTCGAGGGTTATCCCAAAGTTATTTGGAGCCTTGTTCGCTTGGGTACCAGTTGCAATATACTGAGCGCGTCACGCGATAGTTCAATTCGTCAGTGGGCAATAGATAGAGATGCGCACCATTAAAGTAGCTGCCGGTCGTAAGAAAAATGTGAGTGTCTCTCGTAGTGAAACGAAAGAACTTGAACATGGAATTACAGTCAGAGACTGGGGGCAAAACTGCTCTCGGCCGAGCTTTGACCAAGTGCCTGGTAAGAACGCTGCGCTTATGTAAATAAAATTTATGATGTTCTGATAATCCATCTCAGTGTTATGACATTCCAGTTTGTCTGTTGTGATGTCAGGTTAGAGATGATACTGTACAGTACACTATTGGCTCAGATGCTCTTCCGCAAGCAATCACTTTTCCTCCTTTGTCAGGAACAACTCGTATTTCGAGAAAGCAGGTGTCGCATCAGTAAACCTTTGTCTGATCAATCTGGCCTTTGCTTCGCTTCTGGGTGAGATCAAACAAGCAAACGGACGAGGTCTGAAGACAAGACCCTAAAGAGTTTGTTTGGGCTAATCCTTAACAATGTCGATGCAGCCATGACACACACCTCCTCATACGCATCGATATCGACAGGGATCGGTGCCTTCGTAACTGGATCAATGGCAGCAGCGAAATCAAACGGCCAGACCAACGTGGCAATGGTGAATGCCTGCTTGACTGTTCAGCTCAGAAATCGAGTGTTAGAGCGTCACATACCAGGTTTGTGTTGACTAAATTTATTCCAGGGCAGAGTCTCTGCAGGACATAATGAGATACATATTGTGTCCCTCCAGCCCAAGAGACTTACTCTTCCGCTCCCAAAGGGTATACTTGCGCGCCAGTCTTTGCTATCCACACCAGGTTTCGTCCCGTGTTCGGAGAGGAGGAATCTCTCTGGTCGAAAGACCTCAGGTTCATCGAAGACCTCTGATAATATTTGAGCATGCCTCCCTTACATGAGAATTACAACAAACTCACCTGAATCATGCAAGATGCCCCCTATTCAATGGTCAGCTTGACAGGTTGGAGAATGCGAATGTTACACATACAAGCATGTATGAAAACGGTTGTACCTCTAGGGATAACATAGCTTCGATACATAATATATTGGTCAACGTGGGCGAAAACTGTGACTGGTAGATCGCGACTTACTTCTTGAGTCTCTAGCAATGCGTGAGGCATTCCAAGCAGTGCCATAGGTTTCAATCTATGTACCTAACAGACTGTCAGCCTGATTTACTATTGCTAACCTAGACAAGAATTCACCTCTCTTAGGATGGCACGGACATACAGAAGTGATGCAATGTCATCCATCATGGGTGGCCACCCGTCTGGTAGAACTGAGTCGATCTCATTTTGAGCCTTTCGCAGTGTCTTGGGAAAGGCAACAAAACATAGAATGAGGGAAGAAATGAAGGACCCCGAAGAATGGGATGCTTCGAGCACGATCGCACCTAACCAGCTACAACGCGAGATGGGAGTTCTTAAAGATCTGATTCAGAGTTCACACTCACGCAGCAGCGTCCTTTGACATTCCGAGCTCTTCTTGACGCTGAATGACTTCTTCCATAAAACAACCAGTACTTTCTCCTCTGGCGAGCCTTGTTTCTGCCTCTTCCAATAACCCAAAATATAATTGATGTTGCAGTGTCCTCGCCTCCCTGCATATTCTTTTCCATGGTGCCCACCGTTCCGGGACATATTTGAGAATAGGGAGAAGATTGACAGGAGGCCCCTCAGCAGATACCACCTGCACGGTGAGTCTCACACCTTCATAAAAAATTCTTTCTTCCTTCGTGTCAGGGCGCGGGCAGCATTTCCCAAAAGCTATAGACAACAATATTGAAAACGTGTAACGATCGATGTGCTTTTCAAAGTCCTATGAGGAGATGAGAATGCTTAATAGATTATGGAAAGAAGGGAACCTCACTTGAGGTGAACGGAGTAAATCAAATAGAAGTTGTGAACTCTCTGCTACCGCGACTGGTAGGTGTTTATTCACACTTTGTGGGGAAAGCAGGGTCTGTAACGCTTTTCGGCCCATATGCCAGATATCCGTCGCTGACGACTGATAAAAAAATTGAAAGGATGCTGGGGAGAAATAACATACTCGAATCTGCTTCCGCGATAAAATACCCATCTGTTATGAGACTTCCAGTGTAAAATGACGGACGACCAGGGGTTTCATTGCTTCGCTTATCCATGAATTCTTTCAGAACTGTGGCATCTGATACCACAACAACTGTGCCGTGACCAATCTTCAACTAGGAACACTGTCAGAGGCAACGGCAAAAATGTTTCTGTACCAAATGTTTCTTATGGAAAAAATGCCACCATATTGTCGAGCCCATTCGGTAAATCTAGAACGAATGAGGTCTGTAATGTTATAAATTGGAGACAAATGCGACACCCTACTTGAGTTGAGCGAACTTGGGCGGGACCATGAGGGCATTGCCGAGTATCGGGACAGTTGGAGGACCAGGAGGTAGGTGCTGCTCGCGCCTTCCAATGCTTAGTAACTTGGTAATCATCTATATTATACCAGTGGTTAGGAGGAGGGAGAACAACGAAATTGAATCCATTGTGTTACTGCTTCTACCGGGTGGTGCTGACAGTGAGGTGAAAGGGCAGGGTACAATGCTTGATGGTATCTGATGAGATGGGATAATACCATCTAGCATGATGTGTCCAGGTGACTTGTCCCAACCTGCCGAATTGGATTATGATAACGTATATTTGTCCGTACCATTTTGAACATTGCTGACTTGCCATAAGGATCTACAAAAATCTGGAGAGGTTTCGATACACATCAGCCGAGCTGGCAGGAGCTAAATTGAAACAAACATCCTGAAAACCAACCGTTATCTGCCAAGTACGGATTAGAAACATCTTTGAAATCGAACATGTTTTACCCATAACCCCGCCAACTTTATAAATTCTTGCGGAAACTCACACAATCTGACGTCACGGTAGAATGGACTCTGGAAGGAGAACAAAGTCAGGAGGACTCAGAGGTATAAACCAATGAGTCATGGACTGATAGCCGAGTTAGACTCATTCCTCCAAAGTCAGCCTATCTGAAGAGGCAGTCTGTTATCTGTGTTTTTGTGTGGGAGTCATAGTCGACTTCTGAATGCCACATCAATATCAAAATGAACAAACAGTTCATGAAGTCGTTTGTATGGAGAAGGCCTGTGAACACTCCATTGGAGTTGTTTATGCTGAAGTTTCTACCTCATAAATTTGTGTCCACGGAAAGTGGGCAGTTGGAAGGAATGCGAAGCCTTTTGATGGCAAGGTGAAGTTACATGCATAATGCGATGCTATACCATCAGTGAATTCATGAGTCCTTGATTTTGTAGCCGTGGGAAGTATAAGATGATATCATTTTGCTACGGCTGAATATACCTATGTATACAGCAATAAATATTAGTTATCGGTGTGCCCATATATATGTTAGTTTAAATTTCAAAAATGTTCTTTGCATTCCGGATAACATTAAAACCTATCTTAAATATTGCGGACACCGTAGTGCATGAGGAGTTCGCAACAAGATTACAACATTGCGCTGTTGCAGCAATCAATATGCAATAGCATGGTTAAGTTATATTTGTTGACTCATGCCATGTTCCCTCATTTATGTTTTAAACTACCAAGTGATATAAGACTTTATCGTGGAAAGAACCGTTAGCACTTGTAACCTAATTTATATTCTTATGAGAGCTTCAACCAGCGAGGTATGATAGTGTAATTAGGTACCATTTGTTGAGCAACATCATATTACCTCATTTATTTTTGACTTACAAAAATATATAGATCAGTTCAAATATTGCGTGAATTACAATGTCATCCAAAATCATGCACGTGACTATCACCTCAGCCTCAAATTTTACCTTAGAATTTTCGGACAACCTCAAATCATGTGACCAGCGCAAGTGGTTGAAATTGATTTGTCATTGTTTGCGCAGGACGGAAATTTACATGCAAGTTCCTTTCAATCCTTCTTTCACCGCTACTACCACCACCTCTCGACTCAGCATCTTCATTCCTCCCATTTGTGGTGGTCCCTCCCTGGCCTTTTCCTTGTGGTACCTCCTTGGCCGTTCGTGGTGGTTCCTCCCTGGCCATTTGTGGTGGTTCCTCCCTGGCCTTTCCTCATGGTTCCTTCCTGGCCATTCGTGGTGGCCCTTCCTTTCCTCGTGGTTCCTTCCTGGCCGTTCGTGGTGGTCCGTCCTTCCCTCATGGTTCCTTCCTCTGGCCGTTCATGGTGGTCCTTTCCTTTCCTTTCCCAGGGAGGAACCACCACGAATGGCCAGGGAGGAACCACCACGAACGGCCAGGCAGGAACCACCACGAACGGCCAAGGAGGTACCACAAGGAAAAGGCCAGAGAGGGACCACCACAAATGGGAGGAATGAAGATGCTGAGTCGAGAGGTGGTGGTAGTAGCGGTGAAAGAAGGATTGAAAGGAACTTGCATGTAAATTTCCGTCCTGCGCAAACAATGACAAATCAATTTCAACCACTTGCGCTGGTCACATGATTTGAGGTTGTCCGAAAATTCTAAGGTAAAATTTGAGGCTGAGGTGATAGTCACGTGCATGATTTTGGATGACATTGTAATTCACGCAATATTTGAACTGATCTATATATTTTTGTAAGTCAAAAATAAATGAGGTAATATGATGTTGCTCAACAAATGGTACCTAATTACACTATCATACCTCGCTGGTTGAAGCTCTCATAAGAATATAAATTAGGTTACAAGTGCTAACGGTTCTTTCCACGATAAAGTCTTATATCACTTGGTAGTTTAAAACATAAATGAGGGAACATGGCATGAGTCAACAAATATAACTTAACCATGCTATTGCATATTGATTGCTGCAACAGCGCAATGTTGTAATCTTGTTGCGAACTCCTCATGCACTACGGTGTCCGCAATATTTAAGATAGGTTTTAATGTTATCCGGAATGCAAAGAACATTTTTGAAATTTAAACTAACATATATATGGGCACATAACTTCAAATTTTGGCAGTGTTTTGTGCAAATTCCAAAATATAAAGCTTTGGCAGCTATTTTGGCACTGACCATACATCACCAAAAATAAGAAATATTGTCAGATTTTGAGCGTGTGCTTGAATTTAAAGTTTTATTATGACATTCAACTTGGGACAATTACTTGAAGTTTGGTCCATGGTCACTATGTTAAGTTGTATCAAACAATTAGACCCTGCCGAAAATATCAAGTTCATGGCGGCAACAAAATGCGATGACGAAACTTCAAGTTTTGTCTTCAGATTAAATATATCGCCCAATCATCGCCCACCCATCGCCTGCCCATCGCCCGCTCACACGCCTGTAAAAATGCAAGAGATTAAATAAATATATTCATATTGAAAGCTATAACAATTGAGTCAGGAGAGTTATAGATATTGCTAGGTAGTTTCAGTCGCGAGATAAGGATAGAATCACAGCATGACAGTCAGAAACCCTCCATCGCGCAAAGTGACTAACGACCCATGACACCTTGGCATTTTCAAGGCGGGTTTCGAAGTCTGTCGAGTACAATTTCGCCGGAAAATAAGGGTACATTGAGAAGGGATCGACGGTATGGTGATCTAGTGGGATATGTCGCTGTACAGCAAACAATAACTCTCCTGTCAGCGTACTGTAAATGTATTTGATACTGGCGGCGACAGGGGTTAACGACCGATCTCTGCGAGGATAGAAGAAAATCTGGCTGTTGCCCAAGTGTGTAGACGCCTTACTGTAGATCACACCGTCGAACTTGAGTGTAGCGCGTAATACCACTGTTCGTCGTCTGATGAGGGTATACAGGTCTTCAGGCACCGCACTAGTTGCTGCACAGTCGGCAACCTTGATGGCATCATTCATAGGATCTTCGGCAAGCTCATGGATAGAACTCGTAGCGCTCTTATTGAATACTCGATCAAACAGGACCCCACACTCTTGAATAGCAGGCAGACAGTCTGGTCGGGCGAGCCAACGGCGAAGTCTTGCAGCTTTGATATAGGAAAGAAGCATTGTATTTTCAAGCTCCCCTAACAGGATTAAGTCTAACTTTCTCGTTCGTGCTTTGAAAGGACGTACCAAATTTGTGATTGATAGGAATGCGTTGTATAATTCCAATTAAACGTTCGAAAGGAAAAGACCACCACGAGTGAGCAGGCCCGAATAGGAGCAGATAATCATATATATGGAACGATGCATGGTGATTCGGTCGCACTGAGAAGGTGGGATGAATTGTCTGCAACTTTCTGACATAAGCAGCGATATGCGAGTGATAGGCTTGAGCCCTTCTCGGTGTCATTGTTCGTGCACAAGCAAGATACACTGCACCGACTAATTCCATAGTGTGATCGAGGATAGTTTTGAGGCGAACAGCAATTTCGTCAGAAGAATGCGATGTACCAGCTCCCCACAAGCTCACAAGGGCGATGGGAAGATAGATCGTGATAAGGGATCGCCACTCATCAGCCTTAATTGTCCCAGCAGATGCCTCACCAAAATTCTTGGGGACGGAACCAAGCCAAGTGGGGGTGGTCGTATCACGGATGACGTTACGGATTCGATCAAGTACTTCTGCTGTCTCGAACGAACGAACTTTTCGAGGGGCCGCTAGAGGTTGTCTGCGACGCTGTGAAGTGCGTGTTAGAGAAATTGACGGCAAGAAACATCACAGCGAAGAGCTTACCCAATCAACAAGAGCCTTGACGTAGTCAATCTTCAGCGTTCTGCCAACTTTCTGGGGCATACAATGTAAAGAATTGCAGGCAAATCTCAATGGTCCGGAATTTTTATGAGACAGAGTGCTTTTTAGCTTGTCAAAGTGTTCCTCCAGTTGATTATCATCGCCAGAACCTACATGAGATGCGAGGAGGGTGCAAATCGCGGATATCTGTGTTACCTCTTTGGCTGTCATTGTCCCGGGAGGTATTTCGCCAAAGTCACACGCAAATGCCGGGGAGGGCAATGTCGATGTGGTCGACTCTGAGGTTAAACCGAGAAGATGTCGGGTGTGGTGTTGGGCCAAGCCTTCCAATATGCAGTGCATCGGATCAATGACAAGTTGCCGGGAGGGGTCCCAGTATGGTAAGCGCCAGAGTTCGGAATAGCGCACGCCATGAGCCTTGAACAGTCTTTCACGTTCAGAGGATGTAGCAGCGTCTCTCCACTGCTCAGCATATTCTCGCAATGTTACTTTGTTGTGAGGTTCCCACTTCTCGAAGTCGACTCTTCCACAGGTAGACTTATGATAACAATTGCACGCACTGCAATAGAAGTGACTGCCAACTCCAGCCATAGAAGCAATATGACGAGCGGCGGGGAGGTCACAGACAACAGGGGCGACGGCGCTACGAGTAAGCCGGCCATGGGGGTAACAAGCCGTTTTGGAGAACTTGATACCGCGCTGCCATGCATCTACCAAATCATTGATGAGGGGTCGGATGTAGTGGTTGAGGTTCTCCAGTGACGGCTGCTTCGGACCTGGGATGATACCCGCAACATACATATTCTCCGGCTTGTATCTGATATCCACCGGTAAATTTAAGCATGCCATAGAGATGATTCCGCATGATGTACTGGCACCGCGGATATTCAGACCTTCTGGATTGAAAAAATCCACATGGAGAGCGAAGACATAGCGTCCCTCCTCTCCTCTATCAACAAAAAGTGAACCCGGCTGAGGACTATCGAACTGGCGGAGAAATTGAGCTTCAAAGGGGGTTTTGATGAAGGACGGATGGGGGGAATCGATGGAGTCCATCAGATTGTCGCATGCCTGATCCATCACGGCCTCGATATCTCTACGAGAGAGAAGACCGAACAGATAATCCTTGAAATTGTGGTACATGAAGGTCCTCCTGGGTCGGAAATTTCCATCAGCACCAACAAGCAAAGCCTCGCCACATTCGGTCGTGAGCATGGGACGATGAGTGCACCGTTCAGGATATACTGGAGTCGTCGAGCCTGGTGCATAAGTTGGTGGATAGGTGCAATGGCAACTGCAGACAGCATACGGGACAATCTTTCCCTTGAGATGGAATCTGGCCTTGGCACTTTCTGAGGTCATTGGGATCTGCTTTAGGATATTTGTGTGGGAGGAGTTGAGGCTGTTATCTGGTCTCCGGAATGCGAGAAATAGTATGACGGAAATGATCTTCATGATTAGATCACAACTACTCCTGCTGACCCCTATGATAACTCTGCATGCGACGCCAAGGAAGAGAACAATTTGAGTGATTTCATCTAACTCGTTCACTGGATCTTGCGGAAGGGTATCTACTGAATGATAAGCAAAGAACTGTCATGATGATCCGCACGCTCACTTACCGGTATTGATCTCGACGGGTGTATCATCGGATGGCTCGTGACTGCTGCACTGGGTTGCCAATATGTCTATCTGCGATTTGATCGCCTTCTTTCATGCAATCACAATATCGGTCTGCCGAATGATGTTTTGCATGGCTTTACAAAGTAAATGTAGTTTGCGACCAACGTGATCAATGCGACAAGAATGCAGCAACAAGTGAAAGCATTGCTGGATCCGAGACTCGATGTTGTCAAGGACAACCAACGCCTTCGCGGTGTGTCGATTGCATCCCTTTTTCGAGACAGGTACTGTGTCAGGTTTGAGCTCGACAGTACAAACTGTCGAGCTCGGAGAAATATTGACCGGTACATCCATATCAAGGGTCAAGCGACAAAGATCGTCGGCGATGACGGCGACTGATGATGTGTTGTCTGCGAAGGTGCATGCGGCAAGGTCAGTGGCAGAAAAATCTATGTTAATAATCACACTGTTACCTGCGGCGCGTTCCGCTTTTACACGCAAGATATGAGACACAATTAAGCGTTCGGCCATGAGCACTCCTGTTGGTGTGCCTTTCTCGTCATATCCGCCTTTCTCAATGCACTCCTCGCAAAGGCATCATTTGAGTGTTGCACGGGCTACGGGCATGGAGAATTGAGGGAGGTTGGTAATTGGGTGATTGGAAGTAGATCCTGGCATAGCGGGACTTAAATGAAAAAAAAAAAAACAAGGAAAGAATGGAGCAACTCACAAACAAGGCATCGGAGACAAATGCCAACAACGAAGTACAAGGTGATTGCCTATATGGACACTATTCGGATGCATGACAAGGGACGATGGAACAATACATACCGTAATATAGATCTGACGAGACAAGTGCAATGGAATTCCAAGTGCCTGAGTGGTCACGCAATCCGGTCGTATCGTCAGGAAAATTCCATGTTCGCAAATGTTGACGAGGAACGGTAAGCTCAACAGTACAAACTATCGGGCTCAGAGTGACGAAAGTATAAGAGAACATGAGCTCAACAGTACAAACAAAGAGCCAAGTGTACATCGATCGATTGGCCATATCGTTCTTTACCCAGGCTTGCCTTAAGTGGGTGACCAATTGGTCGTTCACGTGTGCACCTACGTATGGTCTAGCGGAGGGTATTCTTAAGGATTATCCAAATCCGAACATGTCTCCGCATCGTTGGGCGT